TGTTTGCTAAAGAGGGGCGGTGTTTAGTGGCAGAGCTGCATAGGTCAGGGAGGGGGCGTGGCACTCCTCCTATGGCAAGGGAGGGAGGTGTGGTACTCAGTCTATGGCAGGGGAGTGTTTGGTTCTCAGCCTATGGCAACAGAAGGAGTGTGGTGCTCACCCTATGGCAGGGGAGGTGTGGTAGTCAGTCTATGGCAAGAGAGGGGGTGTGCTACTCAGCCTATTGCAAGGAAGGAGGGTATGGCATTCAGCCTATGGCAAGGGAGGATGTGTGGCACTCAGCCTATGGCAAGGGAGGGGGTGTGGCACTCAGCCTATGGCAGGGAGGATGCGGCACTCAGCTTATGGCAGGGAGGGAGGTGTGGCACACAGCCTATGTCATGGTAGGAGGGAATTGCACTCAGCCTATGGCAAGGTAGGGAGTGTGGCACTCAGCCTATGGCAAGCGAGGGAGTGTGGCACTCAGTCTATGGCAGGGAGCGGGGTGGCACTCAGCCAATGGCAGGCACACAGCGGGTTAGCGGGGCAGACCAGCGGTGGGTGTGGAGGCAGGTCAGGCGGTCTGGCCCCGCGGGGCGGTACCCGGGGTGGCAGGTCACCAAGAGGGTGGCCCCGATGGGGTAGCGTGGGCGGCGGGGCGACACCCGTCCGTGCTGGGGCTCCCCGGGGTGGGGACACGACTCTACACCTGGGGAGAGAGAGAGAGAGAGAGAGAGAGAGACGGGGGGGGGAGGGGGAGTGGAAGGGGACGTCAGCATCAAAATAAAAATATTACATTTGCATAATTTCTAGTTATTCAAAATTTCTCGCTCAATAAACATGAAAAAATATATACAATTAAGTTATTTCTTGTTATTCATTTTTATCTCAATAGACACTACAATATTTCAACTATGTTATTATAGCCATGAAAACTTTCACATTTAATAGGTATCTATCTGTATAATATATATATATATATATATATATATAATATATATATATATATATATATATATTTATATATATATTATACACACACACACACACACACACACACACAAAGTGGTCACTTTATTAGGTACACCTGTATACCTGCTCAATAATGCAAAGATCTAATCAACCAATCACGTGACAGCACCTCAGTGCCTAAAAGCACACAGACATAGTCAAGAGGTTCAGTTGTTGTTCAGCCCAAACATCAGAATGGTGAAGCAATGTGATCTAAGTGACTTTGACTGTGGAATGATTGTTGATGCCAGACAGACGAGGCTATGTTTGAGTATCTCAGAAACTGATGATCTCCTGGGATTTTCACACACAACAGTTTCTGGACTTTACTGAGAATGATGTGAAATACACAAAACATCCTGTGTGTTGTACAAGAATGGTATACAATACCGACAAGATGAAATTAAGACACATGCGCAACATCTGGGTATCTTTATTGTAGACGTTTCGCCATCCAGTGGCTTTATCAATACAAATTCCAGGACATGACTTGAAGACAGTAGAACAATGTACAGAAGATGAGGTGATCAGTCCCTCAACCTTGGAGTAGGTGCGAAGAACACCGTAGTCGTGGAGATTCTGAAGCAGAAGCAAGGAGCCTGGCGCTTATATACTAACGTCAGGTGGAAATGGGACGGGAAGCAGACGAGGGCATAGTCACTGGTAGGCGGGATTCCCCAGTGGAAGTAGGTCCTACTTCTTACTACTTCCACTGGGGAATCCCGCCTACCAGTGACTATGCCCTCGTCTGCTTCCCGTCCCATTTCCACCTGACGTTAGTATATAAGCGCCAGGCTCCTTGCTTCTGCTTCAGAATCTCCACGACTACGGTGTTCTTCGCACCTACTCCAAGGTTGAGGGACTGATCACCTCATCTTCTGTACATTGTTCTACTGTCTTCAAGTCATGTCCTGGAATTTGTATTGATAAAGCCACTGGATGGCAAAACGTCTACAATAAAGATACCCAGATGTTGCGCATGTCTTAATTTCATCCTGTGTGTGGCAGTTCTGTGGCTGAAAACGCCTTGTTAATGAAGAACTCAAGCTATTCTGGAGGCCAAGATGAGACCTACCCATTACTAGAAGAGTGTACCTAATAAGTGGTCACTGACTGCATATATATCTTTATCTATCTAATGAGCATCAAAGACTCACAGGTGGGTGGCGGGTGAGACCAGGTTCCGTCAGAAGTACAGAAGGAGAGTGGGTGGCCGCGCACCACGTAGCCAGGGGAACAGGTGAAGGTGAGGGCCTCTCCTACCCTCCTGGACGACCCACCCCCTACCACCTGGCCGTGCTCAGGCCACGACACACCCTGGCACACCACCTCTGTCACCACATCACCGAGAATTATAGTCACCATACCATAGCTGCAAACAACTTACAGCTATTGTTGAAAATGGCATAAAATATTGACAAATTGAAGATTAAGACACATGTGCAACAGTTGGGTATCTTTATTGATTAAACGTTTCACCTACACAGTGGGCTTCTTCAGTGAAATACAAAGGGAGCAGTAGTAATGAAATAAAGATGGTGTAATCAGTCAGTCCCTCAGAAGAGTTCAGCTCCATGGAGCTGGTGCACTTGTGTCTTAATCTTCAACTTACAGCTAACCCGCTGACTGGTAACCAAATTTGGCGATGCGTTTTGATCTCTCCTGGACTTAATGATGATCCGGGGCAACGCTTCGGTCCCTCCTGGATATGATAACAGTCCAGGGATATCATCTTTGGATCCTCCTCTCGTGGACTCGATAACGTTCCAGGAGAGATCTCAACGTCGCAAAATTTCATCTCCACTTTCAGTGTTAAAAATGCAAGATAAACACTGCAGTAAATATTATCATATAACAAATTATATGATGGATTATATAATAGATTATCTGAATTATCATGAATTTCATGAGAACTATAATGAAGTACCGTATTTTCCTGCATATAAGGCGCACGACAGACTTATAAACCCGTAATCGTATTCAAGGGCTAATTACCCTGGCCTTGAGCATATAAGGCGCAGGGTGATTTTCCGAGATCTTTTCTGAAGGGAATAAAGCGCGCCTTATATGCCGGAAAATACGGAATTTGAGCTAAGGAACACCACTAACTTAAATCAGCTCCTGTTGTTTAGAGATTGTAAATAGTCTTGTGTTGTCGCGTGAATGAAGGAGATGAATGTAAGAGGAAGAAAAAGGTGGTTAATGAGAGGGGAGTTGTGAATGTAAGAGGGAAGAGGATATTTAATGAGAGGGGGTTAATGTAGAAGAGAGAATAGAGCATAAGAGGAAGTGAATGTAGACGAAGGGAATATACTAGTTATGGAGTGTTGGAGAATGGAGAAAGTGAGAGAGAGAAGGAGAGAGAGAGAGAGAGAGAGAGAGAGAGAGAGAGAGAGAGAGAGAGGAGAGAGAGAGAGAGAGAGAGAAAGAGTAAAAACAAATTGGAAGGAGAGTGATTAAGGAGATGAATGATAAATATGAGAAGATTAAACATACGAGAAAACATTTAACAACAACAAAAAAAAAAGAGGTAAACAGAGGGAGCCTTTGCAGCAATGAACGACTGTTTGCACATAAGGGTTAAAATTGCACACAGATGACCACAGCTCATATTTTATAGACCTGAAATAGATTAAAAAATAGAATAAACTGAGGAAAAAAAATATCACAAGTAGCGTGAAAATAAAGTTTTTTTTTAACAGATCTGTTAATAACTTTATTATTTACGATGCAATCCGTCACTCTGGAGAATAAAACTGTTCGTGTGGGAAGCCTTAAGCCCGTAGGGGGTCACACAGTGCCTGAGTAAGTAATCAGATTTGATCCGAGGAAGGGGAGGGGCAACTCCAGTCCCTTGAATCAAGAGCTCTTCAAGTTGGGAATTCTGTGGGACAACACTGTGGGATAACACTGTATAATAACACCAAAGTTATCTTCTGACAACTGATAATCAGCCAGTACACCTTATCATGTGTGATACCCTCGTGATAACCTGCTTATGTGTCTAGTACACCTGGTTATCTTATGCACTTCACTCCTGATAACCAATTTGTGTGTCTAGTACACACATTCCTGTTAACCAACAGACGGCAAGTCTTGAATAACTCTACCTCTGCTGACTAACAGGGATGGCAACCATACTATAAACACTGGTATAAGAAACTAACAGGGATGGCAACCATACTGTAAACGCTGGTGTTGGACACACAACTCTCCTTGTACCTGTACAATTCACACTGTACCGAATCTTCCTCTAGGGATGCACTGGCAATTAGATACCTCGTCTGGGCCACTGCTGGGAGTCATGGTCCGTGCTGGAGGGTCCTTAAACGAGCACTTATTACGTTGCACTTAAACCACTTAAACCACAAGAGTGTTAACTTAGTAGGCTCCTTGGGATTGATACCAAGGAGTGAGTTCAGCATCGTGCTGTATATGCTGAGGCTACTTGTAAATACGTAACTTTCTCATTGATCTAGTTTACTAAAAAAGTTACGTCCTCGAGTGAAATTGATGAATGCATGGCGTCCTTCCCTGGCTGTGTACATTGATGTATGTACGTGTGCTTGACGTCCTCTCCCTGGCTGTGTACTTTGGTGTACGTACGTGTGCATGACGTCCTCTCCTGGGTGTGTACTTTGGTGTACGTACGTGTGCATGACGTCCTCTCCTGGGTGTGTACTTTGTTATAAGTATTTCTGGTTCGGTTCTCGTAAAAAAAAATAAGCAAACTGACGCCGTCCAGGGCATTCAAAAGTGCGTTTAATATGGCCTCCAAGGATCTAAATAGCAAAAAGAAGGTCACATAGCCTTTTATGGGTTATCTTAAGTAATTTACACGTATGTAATTTTGTAAGACAAATATAATCATCAAAAAAATGATGTGTACCTAAATGAACTTACTTGCTTGCTTGCTTATTTACTTGCTTATTTACTTACTTGATTACTTATTTACTTGCTTACTGACTGATTACTTACTTGCACACTGACTTATTTACTTGCTTACTGACTGATTACTTACTTGCACACTGACTTATTTACTTGCTTACTGACTGACTTACTTTATTACTGACTGATTACTTACTTGCATACTTACTTATTTACTTGCTTACTGACTGACTTACTTTATTACTGACTGATTACTTACTTGCATACTTACTTATTTACTTGCTTACTGAATCACTTACTTACAGTAGTGTGCATATTAACTGGGACAGTAATAATGGAACAAAACATTTATTTGGAAAATTAATGTTTATTTGGAAAATACGCAGCAGTGATGTGACAGATACTTGATTTAATAAAAATTATGACTACTTTTGCTTTTACAAGCATTGCTTCACGCTGCGGCTTAGAATCAACCAATATTGAACACATTTTGGCAAATTTCTCGTCCTAATATCAGTAGGAATTATCTTCTCAGTAGAACAGTCCTGTTTCGCGATCCTGCGTTTTGTTATTGCCCATAGGTTCTCAATTTGGTTGAAGTAAGGAGAATTTCCAGGCTAATTTTGAACGCTTATGCCACTGTCTTCGAAGAATGTTCGCATTTTTCTGGAAGTGTGGCATGGTACAAGATCCTGCTGGAAAATGCCTTCTCCATCAGGAAAGTCTCTATCCACAATAAGAAGCATGTTAGTTGCCAGGATTGCCTTGTATTTGTCACTGTTCATCGTTCCCTCAACCATAACAAGCCGTCCAGGGCCTTTAAACAGTAAAACTATCCCCAAACATCTTAGATGGGTGTTTTGGGGCTTGTCGAATGTGTCCATTCCGGGGAGGTTCGCTTTTACTCCGTCTCACTGCTACTGAGCTCGTCCCATTAACTTCAAAATACACCTCTTCTGAAAATATAACTTTTCTCTATTCATCTGTCGTCCGTCCCTGATGAACGAGTGCCCACCGCAACCATCTTCTCTTCATAACAGCAGTCGATAATTGTTTCTTTATTGGCGTTCTGGAAGTTCTGCTGACTTTATGGAGCCTTCGTCGAATAGTTGAAGAATCAGCGTTTACGCCAGCTGAAGACAAATCTCTTTTTAGATCTTTGCTGGTTTTCTTGGGATCCTTCACACTTTTTTACGATAACCTTGTCATCGTGAGGTGTTGTCTTGCGTTTTCTTCCAAATCCTTCTCGACGCAGCGCTCCACAATCACCAGTGTCGTCAACTCTCTTCAGAATCCGACCAAAAGTTGCCTTTGCTAGGCTCAAATTTTCGGCGATCTGTCTGATACTCAAATCAGCATATTTTCTAAGACAATACTTGCACGCTTCCTAGGTGTAACATCCATCACGAATTTCACCAGTAATGATGAACTGAATGGAAGAATTTGGCGAAACCACATTCATTCACGGAGCTTGCTTGCAGGAATAACCTTACAGAACAACAGCTGTTGTAGCACTGACGAGAGTGGCAGGGTAACACCACAGCTGGATGGTTGCCAGAAGTCGGTAACAAACTCTTCTGAAAAGAACCAAATTACATTAATTAAGCCGGAGACTAAGACATATTATGAAATAATCATAAAACTTACTCCTGTCCCAATTAATTTGTACACTACTGTACTTGCTTACCGGTTTTAGTCCTGGGCACTAAGTGGGGTCCGTGGATGACAGACTGCCTACAAATCTGTCACTCATTATTTATCATTAATGTCCTACGACCTACTAAATCAACTCAGTCCGGAGTCTAATATTAAAGTGTATGTTAATGAGGGCCAGTCAATGAGGGGTGGCACTGTGTTGGGTTGGCACTGAGCTAAGCTGGCATTGTGTTGCGCTGGCACTGTGTTGGGATGGTATTGTTGGGATGGTACTGTGCTGGGCTGGCACTGTGTTGGGCTCGCACTGTGTTGGGCTGGCACTGTGTTGGGATGGCACAGCGTTTTGATGGTATTGTGCTGGCTGGTACTGTGTTGAGCTGGCACTGTGTTGGGCTGGTACTGTGCTGGGGTGGCACTGTGTTGGATTGGCACTGTGTTGGGCTGGCACTGTGTTGGGCTGGCTCTGTGTTGGGCTGGTACTGTGTTGGGCTGGCACAGTGTTTTGATGGTATTATGCTGGCTGGTACTGTGTTGGGTTGGCACTGTGTTGAGCTGGTACTGTGCTGGCTGGCACTGTGTTGGGCTGGCACTGTGTTGAGCTGGCACTGTTGTTGGCTGGCACTGTGTTGGGCTGGTACTGTGTTGGGCTGGCACTGTGTTGGGCTGGTACTGTGTTGGGATGGCACTGGGTTCGGATGGTACTGTGTTGGGATAGCACTGTGTTGGGATGGTATTGTGTTGGGATGGTACTGTGTTGAGATGGTACTGTGTTGGGCTGGTACTTGTC